GAAATATTTTTGATATAATATATTTGATTTTATTTATTTTCTGTCTCCATAACATATTCTTGAAAAAATCTCGATTAAATGAAACTTATTAAAACAAAACACACACACAAGAAAAGGGAAAATAAGAAGCACAGTATTTATAAATTGTTTTAATTTGTAGCCCATGCACGTAATTTAATACACTGACGGGTATAAAATAATAAAATGAAGGTATATTAGATCTGGAAGTAATTTTGGGGAACGTAAGTAAACTGTACTCTTTCAATAAAAATGGACATAAGGAATAATCAGATATTTTAAGTATTTTTATTTTATTTAAGTTCAAAACTAAACAGCAAATTCTGAAAAATTAATAATGACGTCTTCGATACGAAGTTCGAAAGGTGCTGGTCTCGAGAAGTTTGGGGACGAATTTAGGGTATGGACGAATTTAGGGTACACGACGATAAATGCGGTCGTGTACATATCTCGGGTAATGTGCAATTGCTATATGCAAGACGGTCGTGTAAATAGATTTTACTTAATATCTATGCACGACGGTCGTGTATATATCTCATTACTTTGCAATAGCTATTTGCACGACGGTCGTGTAAATAGACTTTCCATATAGTGTGCACGACGGTCGTGTATATATCATCGGCCTTATAATTTACGACTCTATGTTGGATTACTGGATCAAATTATGATAGCAAACAATGCAAAAATTTTAAGCTCCTTGAAAAATGTTTTTCACCAAAACCGCTCTCTTTCAAATGTATTTATTTGTTGAAGCACAAAATACAAAGGTCATTTAATGCATTTTGGTCTGCTCCTTACCCCTGACAAATACATCAACCCACTAAAAACTATGCACCCAATCATTCTAAACAAAAGGTGTTACAGATAAAAAGCAAAATAAGGAATAAGCTGTTGGTCTTGCTGTTGGAAGCGTCTTTCTTTGAACTGATTTCCCTCGTCCTCTTTTACTTTAATGATAATTACCCAACCAATTCTGAGAAAGGTACATATATAATCCAAAAGATTGATAAGAAATCCACACAAGTATTTCAGTAGTAAAAAAAAAATAACAGAACGCCGATTAAAGCTCTACCGGTTTCAATTGTATCATTAGGAGTTTTGGAATCAGAACAAAACTGAGGGAGGAGTAGATAAGGAACGCGTCGGTCCATTTTCCAATATCGCCGATTTTCCCACTTTTCCCCTTTTGTTAGACAAGCTCCCTGTCCACTTAGTTTAACTTGTTTTTCTTATCCCTTTCATCTGACATTTCCAAAAACACGCCAAGATCCAAATACTCACCAGTTTAAAATATTTTCACGTATTTTTGAAGGGATGGTGTCCCCCAATGCATCAGTAACGCTAACGAGAGGCGTAGATCAGACAGTAATCAGACAAACCTACTGAGCTGATTGACCCGTTAATGTCTTCCTTATGCTGCGGCTGGTACTACTATCTTTATTTCCCTCCTGTTGTTGGGCTCTGGTGGCAGCTGTTTCTTGGTGGAAATTTTGGCGGGTGTAAGTACAGTAGCAGTACACGTGCGCTTGGGCATCTCTTCGAAAATTATTTGAGATATTTGGAAAAAAAATTCTCAAATGTTAGCAGCATACTCAGACAAGGGATAAGTTTCAAGCCGAATAAAACGTAAATCACGCATTTTACCATTAAGTCACAGGGCAGCAGATCTTTATTTGAAAATATTTCTTATAGTTGGCAGGACTCAAAACGTTTATCATGGAGGGGATTCGGTTATTGACTGTTCCAATGCTTTGCGCAGATATTGCGCGCGCATCACACCACGTGGGGCTAATGATAAATGGTATTATAACGTGTGCACTTCATAAATCCAATTACCGGGTATTTAAAACCAATTGTGATCATTTTGAGAACTTTAATTTACTAAAGTGATAACTTTGAATTACTAAAGTCAACTATCACATTTTTGTTAGGGATGATTTATACATTAGTCACTTCCAGATTCTGATTTTTCATCTTGTTAATCTGTGCTTAAAGTGTGGCTATCTTCATATAAAGTAATAAGTTTTCAAAATTTGGCATTTTACATACACATTGCTGCGCAATAATAACATCTAAGTAATTCCTGATCAAACATTACCTCAGCATACAGAAAATGTTTCTTCTCTTCAGCAACATGTATCTTCATTAATTTCTTTGATATTTTTATCAACATGTCCTATTTAGCAGGAACTGCATAATAACAAAGCACAACTGTCACGACCCGCTCGACCTACAATCTGCACAAGATCTACAACATATCTAGGTGCATGGTCCATATCATATTTTATATATATTGCATGATAGTGAGGAAAGATTTATTTAGGCTAGAAAAATCGCATTCCTCGAGGGGAGTACGATATCTCTTGCTTGAATAACACTTTCCCGAACACACAGGCAATGAATTGTTTATTGTACCGGAACAAGCAAAAACTTTTATGAAATGGCTGAGTTCCGCAATGTCTTATTTCTGGAGTTATCTCTCTTGAAAAATCGCTAGATGTCGCCAACACATTGACTTCCGGGGCGTTTGTTGTTCAACTTGTGTTGTGTACTCACAGTACTGATAATTGCAATTTCTGCGTTAGACAAGGACATACCAAGGTAAGATTTGCGATATATCTGTATAATTAATTTATTTAAAGATTTATAACCATTATCTAAACGTGGTAAATGGTATACAAATAATAAAATATAAATGCTCAGCGTTTTCGCGTGGCATTTAAATATTCAACTGAATTGGCTATTGCAAGGTCTAAGATCGACCCTGTTCGAACCGAATGTAGATGACATTGAAATTATGATTTAATAACTGTTTAATATTAACAGTAATGTAATATTGTCGGAATAATTGAATATGTGACCATCCAACAGCGTTTAATTCTGAAAAAAGGGGGTGTCTTTATTAATCCGAGATTCCTCTGACTCTAACCCCCGCTTTTATTTTATGACGTTTGTCCGCACATGTCATAAAATAAAAGCAGGGGTTAGAGTCAGGGGAATCTCGGATTATGTCTTTATATGATATTGATATGATATCAATAATTGTTTACATAAATTACATCTTGGGATCCTAATTACATTCAATTTTTATGAAACCCTTTTAAGTTATTTGGGCACTGTGTGTTTTCTGAATCTGTATTAATATACAATATTGAATGTTTCAGAATGTCTTCAAGCACTGATGATGAAGGTGAACCATCTCACTTGTCTCTAGAAGAAATTCAGTCATGGAAAGTTGTTGAACTAAAAAATTGGCTTGAAAATCACAGGCTTAAAAAATCTGGGAATAAAGAGGTATTGGCAAAGAGAGTTTACAAAGCCATGAGGCATGGTTATGATTCATCAGAAGATTTCATAGATACAGATGAAGAAATAGAGAAAACTGTTCCTGTTCATCCTTCAACAGATTCATGGAAAGAACTTGACTCTACTGATATTCCTGAAATTTCTCATAAGGCCATTGATATTTATTTTAAATGTCATAAAAATCCTGTAACTGGAGAAAGGTTAAATTTCGAGAGACAAATGAAAAAAGCAAAGCGTCTGTGCAATGAAGGGTTCATAAGAGAAATTGAATACAATAAAGGAAACAGTGATTTTTGTTACATGCGATCAACTTGTCTTCCATCAATGAAACAGACTGTTCAAGTTGGATTTGGAAAAAGTGCTAAATATTATTCTTTGAATGTTTGTATAAAGAAAAAGTCAGGCATTGTTGTAAATGCTTTATGTAATTGTAAAGCCGGAGAGGCAGGTCTTTGTGCTCATGTTGGAGCATTATTGTATGTACTTGTAAAAACAAACAAGTCCTGTACATCTAATCAGTGTGTGTGGAATAGACCTACACCTTTGAGAAGAAAACCAAGTCCAAAAAGAGTTGGAGATATTAGTTTTTCAAAAACAGAAAAAGATAATATTGTAGACAAAGTTCGTCCTTTCCCAGGCATTTATAATCCTGGACCTTGTCAAAGTGAATGCAGCTCATTTTTGAATGATATTTTGGATGGCTTAAAAGATATTTACCCACAATGTGTCTTGTATCAAACTTTAAGAGCAGAGCATGTTAATATAGATTCCTTTTTGAATATTTTTTTGCCAGATTTTATGTATAGGGACAATGTAAATCTAAAATCAAAAGAATGTGTTGAAAATTTTAAATCTTTTGTAAACAATATGAATATAACAACAGAGGTTAGTGAACTGTTAGAAAAGGGAACTAGAGGTCAAAATTCAAATGTTAACTGGAGAAAGGCTAGATGCAATATCATTACTGCATCAGTAATGGGTGACGTTGTCAAAAGAGTAAAGTCCGAACCAGACAATTTAGTCAAGAAAATTTGTGGATACGTAGTAGTACCAGATTGTGTAAAAAGTATCAGTTATGGTCGAACAAATGAATCTGTTGCTTTGAGTGATTATATGGAGCGACATTTAAATTTGTGTGGTGATGTGAAGATCGAGTCCTGTGGACTATATGTCAACCCTAAGTACCCATTCCTTGGGGCCAGTGTTGATGGACTTGTTACTTGTGTAGAATGTGGTACAGGACTTGTCGAAGTCAAGTGTCCCTATGGAAAACAAAAAAGTCCTTGGAGGAATATGCCTCCGACAAAATGTGGACAAGATAAACATTTTTTTTGCACTGAAAACAATGGTGAACTTAAATTAAAACAGAACCATAATTATATGTACCAAGTTCAAGGCCAGCTAGCATTATATGAACTTAACTGGGTTGATTTTGTTGTTTATACAAAAAAAGGTATATCTGTTGAAAGAATTCTTTTTGATGTTGGAATCTGGAATGATATGGTTCCAAAGATGAAATCTTTTTATACATATGGTGTTGTACCAGAACTTTTCACTAGAAGAATTCAGCGAGGAAAATCACTGTACATGTATAACATTTGATGTACATTTGTTAATAATTTGAATATTGCATAGAATGATTCTATTTGATTTTGAACATGTGTACATAAAACTGTTAACACTCTGAAACTTTTATATTTGCATGAGAGCTTAGATTCATCTGTAAAAATATTGAATAAAAACAAAAAGGTTATGTGATTTATTTTATTTATCCACATCTCATTTATGATTTCAAGGTCCAAGTGTACATATTTCAAGTTTATTTTCAAATGAATGTTTGTATTTCACATCGAATCGTCAAAATTCACATCACCTTGAAAACCACAAAATGTGATATACTTTAAATGTGTTTTTTTAATCATGCATTTAAAAAAATAATTCCTGGAAAGTAAATTTCCTCATAACAGGAATAAAAATAATTATACATGTTAGGGCATCCAGAAAAAAATCTAGTTAATTATATTTATGTCACTTCAGAAGTGGAGGCAATAAGTTAGTTAAAGATGTACAGATAACTATAATTTGTTCTGATAAGTGCACTTCTGAAATTGGTAAAACTGAGTTCACAATATTGTAGTTTTTGATCTGTTCCATCTTCATTTCAACTACTATTCTGGCTGAAGCTATTCTATTTGTTTTAAAGAAATCATGTTTTGACATCTGGCATGTACTTGATACTCGTGGTGGAACATTCAATCCAACATCAGCTGGTAACAAATCTTCTATTGTGAAACCTTTATCTGCCATTACAACATCACCTGGTGACAGTTTTGGAAGAAATCCATCGTGCTGAGTAATGTGTCTGTCTGACACATTCCCACCCCACAGTCTTGACACAAAGGTTACCATACCACTTGGTGACACACCAATCAATATTTTAAAAGTGTTTGAATGTTTGTATTCGGACCACGTCATCCACTGTGCCTTTAAAGAGGACGGTTTTTCAATAAAAAATTCTGTGCAATCAAGCACAATTCTAGTATCTGCGTGCATGCTAAAAAGCTTTGGTAAGTTACACAAAATCTGCTCTCTGGAGACCCACTTTATTAAGGATTTGCAGTGATCATAGAGGAAGTTAATCCAAGTGTTCATTACTCGTGATACTGTCGTTTCGGACACCCTGAAAATATCAGCAAGGTGTTCCTGAAGCAGCCCTAAACGAAGTCTCATGCAAACCATCAAGAATTCATCCACTGGTCTCAAGGAACGTTTTCTGCCAGGCTTTTTAACCCCTGGTTCATGATACGACTTCTCACCCATGGACCTTGTCTCTCCCTCCCAGTAATTGAGTTTCTCTGCACCATGTTTCTGCCTCAGCACTGCAAAAAACATCCAAAAAATTTGAAAAGTTGCAAAACCTGTATAAAATCTTGTTTTAGAATCGTCATCTTTCATATCTTCATATGTCATCCTAGGCAAATCTGCCTGAACTTCAGCATTAACAGTAGACAAAGGGCTGCCAGTCGTCTGGGTTGCAGTTGAAACATGTACACAATGCTCTTCTGTATTTGTGTACGCATCTTTTGAATAAAAATATTTGAGGTCAGTTTGTATTGCAACATCATTGTACATTGACACAGGATTATCTTGTGGATTTTCAGTATCACTTTGCCCTGAACCATCATTTTGAAATGAATTTTCAATTTTTCTTACAAGAGGTCTTCGGGATTTTGTTTCCTTTTTGGGTTTACTTGGAAAAATTGTGGGAATCGATTCCTCAGTAAATGTTCCCTCAAAATGAACACTGCAAACTCGTGTGTGGTCTTTTACAACCAAATTTGCTCTCACATGTCGAAGTCGCTGAATCCAGAGACGCTTAATATGGGCCTTTTTCTCCGACATAGGGAAGCGATGCAATATTATTTTATTTCCATATTCATCCAATGTTTGAGAAGTGTTGCTGCATCCAGGAACGCAGCAATATTTCTTCCCCATACTGGAAAATAAAAAGTACATTGTAAAGTACTTAAAAAGGAATTTTTTTTTAAAAAAAAATGTTACAATTGACATTCATGTCCTTTTAAAATAAATTATGTTATGAATTCAAAATTATTTACATGTTACTGAATTGTTTTGCGAATTAAACAATGCCTTTTACACAACGGGGGGGGGGGGGGCAATGTTAGATTTTCTTATGAACACAACTTGACAGCTGTAAATATTCATTCCTCGTCGAATAAAAATAAATTCTATACTTTAAAAAAATAGATATATGTATATAGACCTTTATAAATATTGACATTTTTTTTTTCTAGAATATACTAGATCCTTATGGTTGTTGCATGTGTATTAGATTCAAGAACCAACTCTGTACTGCTTTTATATTAATATGCATCGTAAACCAGTGTAACATCCTAAATACGACCGCTATTTAAATCCCTTACCTGGCTTGTCAGTGTCCTCGATACCGATAGTGTGTATTTTCTCGACGCTTCTTGCTTCAGCGATTTTGTTGCTTTGTGTATTGACGCCCCGGAAGTGGAGAGCTTCACAGTTAGGGACGATAACTCGTATTAAAAAAACATTGCGGAACTTGGCCATTAACTTAAACTTTCAAATTCGGCCCGCTTTCTAAATCATTTTCATTTTTAATGCAAAGTTACTGAAACTCATCAATAATCAGCAATTATTTGACGTAAACCAGGCAGTTGTAACGTCTACTACTCTCGGGAGTTTTCTACAGCGAAAGGAGAACTTTATTTCGGGAAATGCCCTAGGTATCCGAAGAAGTGGATTAGGATAAAAAGCATGCTGACGACCATGAAATACAAAGTTTTACCGGGTATAGCCCAATCACGTGATAAACTAGAACCAATCAAATAGCACGTTCTGTAGAATAACTATTATGAGGTATAATAAAAAGATTTCTACTTTAACTTCTAAAGCTGTCTCTGCAATGTTAAGATTGTTCTCAGTGGCGATGTTAAGAGTTCTTCCATCATTTTGACATGGGATGGTGGGAGAATGATGTGTTCTGCTCTTTGTACCAAGGGCAGCTGCTTTCAAGACAGCAACTTCAATGAAGTAGCTTAAAGAAAGCTTTTATAGTGTTTCTCTACTACATAGCTGTGATGGTGGATACAGAGACAACACTATGGTATAAGATTCCGCACTTTAATTAGCGAAGCGTCGCCAATAATACACAATATTAGAATGACTTACAGATATCAGATAAACACGTCCTGTCGGGACTGCATTCAAAATCAAGAGAGAGAGAGAGAGAGAGTTACGTCACACTCCGCATCATTGCAGGACACGTGATCGGAGGCTACAGGGGAATTCGTCCCCGGCTCCTCCAGGACCACTACACTCCTCCCCATTTTGTTACAGGGCGTCCCAGCCCGTAAGATTTATACAATTGGACAAATTATAATATAAAATAATAAAAAGTTAATACCTAGCAGGGCCTATCTTTCATACATGCAAATGCATACACACAATAATAAATCTTTAAACATTAATGCCTATAATAATAAGAATCACAAGTTAAACAGTTCATAACACAGTCACGCATCCTCCACGTCATATCGGAATACCACGAGGTCCCTTTTGTTACCGACTCAAGTCTTCCACCACGTGGTCGCACGCTGATGTTCTCGGATATGCTCTGCATACTACATCTACAGTGCGGCCAATAAATCAGGATTACCTGTTCCTGATTTAGGTAAGTACAGGTAAGTGCACAGGGCTGTAAGCGTCCCGGCTATGGCACAAATTAATCTACAAGGCCCCCCTCAACTGAGGCCCCCCAAAAAACACTCTAAAATTTCTAAAGGCCAAACCCGCTAGCAGGGTGACATCCTGTCACCTAGCTGCGGCAACTCGACCGTAAACCTCTCCGATGTGCCTAGGGCCCATCGAAGCCTCAACTCCACAAGGGAAGTCGGGACTGTCTGACTCGACCAATAACCTATCCGCAGGTATAGCCCTGACAAATGGATCTCGGACATCTCCGCGATCTGTCCCCCTACCCCGAAGAACACGGGTCTGCCAGAATCTACCCAGAGTTTTACCTGCTCCGGCCCACCAGTAAAGCTATGTATAAAAATAGGAACCAAAATAGGCATGAACAGCCCGTCCATTAACGTGAGACAATTCTGCGCAGGGACGCGGCCCAAAGGGTCGTCCGCAGTTCCCTAAATAACTAAAATCATGTCAGTACCAAATGTCGCCTGGCGGAAGAATTAATTTAAATTTCAAATTATCATTAATTCAAAGTATTAAAAAAAAAATCCTTTTAAAAAATCAATAAAGAGATAAAAATATCAGAATCAATCATATTGAAAATACAATTGTTTATGCCACATAAAAAGAAAAGAAGTGTCAAAGAAAAAAATAGTGTCTTCTCTTCCTGTCTCCTTGAGAGAGACCATAAAAAAATGAAGCAGCAAACAGAAAGCAAAAAAACACATATACATACAGTTATCCGAGTATTATCTCCAACCGGCCTCCTCAGACATCTCCGTCGTTAATCTTTTCTTGTGGGTACGACATTTCTTCATTTGAGAGTTGAAACCAAAGAAGACGCACTTCCTTGGACAAATCTCTGCGCACTCAGTCAACGATCGAGCATCATATTCTCCTAAAAGTTCGTCATTTGATATTTTATCATTCATCTCCAGTTTTGCGGTATATTTCTGAAAACAATGGTATATTTAAAAAAAAATTTAGCCGACAGTTAAAGAGATAACACACCGATTGCTAATTTTTAAGAAAAGTTAAAAACTGCTGCATTCTTGTGAATCTATGAAACTATGTCAGATGACCTGGCCCCAATACCATAAACTGAGAATAGACTTAGTCAAACATTTGATTTTCATTATCTTGAGCTTTTTTTTTAAATGTATTTGCTTAAAATTTTGCAATTTTATTTAACATTTAAAATTATGATGAAAATCTTGTTTTATTATCAAAATTATTAGTTATATTGGTTTGAAATATTGACTTAAGTCTGTTCTCAGTTTATGGTCTTGGGGCCTGGTGTTTCAAGATACTTGTACCTTCACATTTTGATTTGACGAGAATTAAATATAAAATAAAGATATATTACCAATATATTACAATAAAACTCGGAAAAATAATAAGTTTAATAAAAAAAAAATATCGCCTGCCTGAGTTCTTTAGGTACTCTTATCCCCAGTAATTACTTTAAAAACCTTGATACCTATGAATTTTATTTTCAAAATGTGTTTGTTGATCAAGTCGAAATGAAAAAAATTCCTGATTTGTAGAATCCCATAATCGGAGTGTTTTAATAATCTGACTACAATCACCATATATTTATTGCCACCAAACCTGCATATTATTTTGTCTTTTCTTCTAGTGTTCATCTTCAGAAACGTCCTTCTTTCACGAGTGCCGAACTTAAACTGATTAAAAGTCACTTTATTAACAATTGATTATCTCGCATGTTTGAAAGTTACATGTATCAGGAAAGTAGTAAATTTGAGGAAACATCAAGAGAGACATTTAATTCCATCGTCACTTCCATCCTCATGGAGGTGGGAAAAAACCAGTAGGAAAGAAAGTCTGCATAATATGCAGCATCTATACTTGTATAGATTGTTCTCCTGCCTATTCGATTGATTTTTATAATATTTATACTGATATTAATACGGATTTTCATAAAACATAACTTATTTGAAAAAAAAAACCAAAGACAGATATCTTTTAAATTCTAGTAAAACTTGTGTATTTAGTTATAGAAAGCAATATATGTTACACACCCCGAACAAAAATTTCTGTTTACAGGTAATATGGATCTTTTTTTTTTTTTATTTATTCCAAAGATGTTTGTACTGTAGATAACCTAATTTTCGCGAAATAATAATTGACTCTTTATAAGTGAGACAAAATTTTCGTGAATTGTGGTCATTTGGAGTAGAACAAGGGGTCTAGCTAGCACGGAAGTGAAGTCATAACCGGAAGTGGTTTAACCGGATGTGGGTGGAAATGACGTCATAACCGGAAGTGGGCTAGGCGAAAGTGGTCTAGCCGGAAGCGGGGTATCTGGACCCAAATTGGTCTAGCGGAAGTGGCCTAGCCGGAAGTTTCCTAGCCGGAAGCAGGCTAGATGGCGAGGTCAACTGAGTGCACTTTGCAGCAAATGAGGTCAAAAATGCTGGATTTTGATTGGCTGTGAGGATAAGGGGGTCAACCCAGAACAATCCTTGGGTAGGGGATAGGTGGGTTAATTCAGTACATCCCCTTATGTCTTATACGGGATGTTTACACTGTGTTTACATTATACTATACGCTGCTACTACGATTTTGGCAGCTACTCAAGTATGTCATTACGACGTCACGCATTCACAGTCAAGACGGCCTAGCCTAACCGGTTCAAACTGGTTTTACTGGAAACAATAACAAATAAGAAAAACAGATTAAAACAAGACAATTTTATTCAGAATGAAAAAAAAAATACATTCGATTACATTTTTTTTTTCATCTGTCCCTTATCAGTCATCGGGGGGAAGTTTCCACTTGGATGCCTGAGGTTTTTTTTCTTCAAATTTTTGGTATGTATTTTACCAATACGAAGCATGCATCCATCTGTCTAATTTTCTTACTTTCTCCTGATCCCCCTGGTCCTTCTTTTTTCTGGTAAGTAGTTCCCTCCCTCTCATTTTTTGTCTTTCCTGTTAATGACTTTGTGATTGGCGATTATTGGGCACTAATGTAACAAAATCCACTGCTGTTGTAACATTTTAGTTTATCCAGCTTGTTATGACGATCACTCACCTTGGTGTTCAATTTATTCACATTGTTATCAAGATTATTCATCTTGGTGTTCAGTTGATTCATCTTGTTATCCAGACCAGACAGCATGTTAACAATTCCATCCAGAGTTGTATTTAAGATGACCGTATCTTCTTTATTCATGTCTTCAGGAAATTTATACATGTCCAAATTCAAATCCAAATCCACTGCACCTTTTATTAACTCTGTCATGGGAGCTCCTACATATCCTTCAGGTGTCACATAATACTTGGGGTTTTCTGAAGTATTCATCATTGCTTCTTTTTCTTCACCTGTGTCCAGTTTTTAAAAATGTCAACAAAAAGACTGATCTTTAAATTTTACAGTTTTCCTTTATATACCTGCTGTGGGGCACGTGTGCACCTTTTACCTGGCTTTTTATACCAGTTACATCATTTGTAAGGACCGTGTGCAAAAAATTAAGGCCGTATGCACCTTTGACCTTCCTTTTAAATACCTGTTGCATCACCTGTAAGGGGGGGGGGTCGTGTGCAAAAGAAATATACGTTTTACCTACGTTTTATACGAGGGTGGGGTATAAAATGAGAATAAAAAAGTAAGAAAAAAATTTACTGCGGCAGGACATAGATGCAATGAAAGAAAAGTATGTATTCAATACGAAATGAAATACCTGGAAATTTAACACAGGTCAAGAAAATCAGTGATTTTTAATACCAACCCTCAAAAATAAAAATCTACGAATTACTAACCCCCCCCCCCCCCCTCGAAGACCAGAGAGGTCCCCCTGGATGCAATGAGTAGCAGATCGAAATACAAT